TTTGTAGCTGCATCACTGAACAACAAAAGTGACTCAACTCATTTCTTTCAAATGTCAGCAGAAGCCTTTGCTTGTGCCAACTTGTTAATGTTACAAGAGGTGCTTTTGGAAAAGTCTGTCACAGTTGGCAAGCGGCCAGTTAGGCCTAACTCAAATTTGAACTTCTTAGAGTATTGGGAAAAAAAGTGTGTAAGAAGCTGTGGGAATTTATTTTGTCCTGTGCAATACAGCTTCTGGTTGGACAAAAGAACAAACGTGGCAAACAGCAATATGATACAATTATGCACAATTAGGCTATTTTTTACTTGCTTTTTTGGTTATCACATATAAAAAGAAAAGCAAAAGCTTTCTAGATTTATTCATGTATTTATTTATTTGTAGCCTCAGAGATGAATGTATGATATCCACAAAGCAGAGTCAATGTGGTGTACACAGTTTTTGGTATAGCAGCCTTTCTATATTATCAAAGTAAACAAATGACCTGTTGCTGCATATAAGGGCTTGGACACATAAAAGAATAGTAATGTCCATAGTGCAGTATTCAATCTCATTGAAGACGGAAAATGCATTAACATATATTTTAAATATATTACCATAGCATTTGTGTCACTTATTTTGTTAATAAAGATACACATTTTTTACAAGTATGGTACTTGCAGTGTCACATGTTCATAATGTAAGACAGCTGTGCTAGTTGGTCCTCATGGTAACACTGTTTGTTTAGTATAATGGGAATGTATTCAACTTGACATTATAATAGGCTTGTAATGAATACCAGGTATCTGGTCTGTCTTACAGTCATCAACAAGACACCCAGATCCTACAGCCAGAGCCCTTAAAAATGTAATCACAGTAAATCTGAAAGAAGCTGATTAATATTGTAGACAGCTCATTGTCACAGAGAACATTTAATATGATTTATTACTTTGGGGAGTGCTTGTTTGCTACCTACACTTTATGCCGAGAGAGCTACACTACAGCCAAGTTTTTGCCAAGCGTTAAAATGGAAAATGTTAACTCTAATGCGGATAAAAACCTCAGAAACATTGACAAAGGCACAAATAACTTGAGGGGGTATTTGTAGATAGTACATCTCTATACAATATTTCTAAAGCACCAACATGCCATTGAGAACAACTCTAGCCAGTTGAGCTAAGGTCTGGGGTGTGAGGTCTTTCCTTAAATATCACATGACCACGCTGTCGGCTTAAACTGACGGAAAGAGAGACTTTCTGTCGTGAAACTCCAAGTCTGTAATGAAAGTCACATTTTCTGGGTGTGCAAACATCTAGCCAGCAGTTCATTGAGGGACAATAGTATCCAAGTTACCGTGCAACAACATTAGTGAAGTCAGTCTGACAATTATTCCCCCTTTGCAGAAAACACTGCTGCACCTCCGCCCCATAACAGCCCCATGTCTGCAAGACTCTCCTTTTATGAGATACAGTCTACTAGATGTCTTGTAAATCAGGTTGTCCATGCCTCTTGTAAAAGAACAAGTTACTGTAGTTAGTTTCTTGAATGCCATCCAGAGTACAGTATGGTATATTTATTGTGCTTAGCAAAGAGTATATCACAAAGGCAACTTCAGCTTATTTAGAAGACATAACTGGTGCCAGGGCGTTCTAAAGACGAGTGCACAACGAATCAACTGTTCCAATGTGTTTGGTCATAGTATAATAAATATTTGTTTTCTAGCCTAGGAAATGTTCTGTTATAAGACTGTATTTAATTGAAATGATCACCAACCCATTACTTATTATGGCAGGATCCTGGCATTAAATATGCCCCTTGTTTAGAAAGGAGTGTCAGAGTGGTATTTTTGATCTATGTTAAAAGTGCCTTTGTATTTTCCATAGGTTTGTATCACTGTGTGCTCTAATAGAGGCGTACTCACCCGGGGTCTCAGTAGTCTGAGCTGAGATTGAAAGCAGAGACATCTGGTTTACGTGAAGAAGGCCTCAACCATTATTTCTCACAGTAGAGCAGCATGACCTGATCCTTGGCTACGGTCCCTCAGGCACATATTTCTTCCAACAGGAGACTGTCCGTTTGCATGGCATGGAACTAAACCGGATGGCTTTAGACTGCAGTGCCATAGCATCCAGGGTCTGATGAGAGGGCAAAAAAACTGTAGGTTAGATGTAGGAATAGGTGGTGGTTTCATAGCAATTTAATCAAAGAGCTTCTTGTAAGTCAAAGGGTAATAAGCGCCTCAATAGCTGGCACTGAAAAATCCACTCAGTTTACATGATAATCTGTGGAGTATAGGCGCTTTGTTCATGTTTAATAGGGGGACCCGGTTCATTTCCTTCACCAGTTGCTAGTGTATGGATCATATAAACAGATTATGGTATGAACAGTCTTGGGAATATTTTTAATTGGGCAACATGTTTGTCTTTACCCTTTGTTTCCTGTTCCGTCACACACAATAATGCAATTGGTAATTCAATAAGAAACATGTGTTCACCAGAGAACATTGTTTTGGGCAATTCAACAGGCTGCATTTTGGGAGAGAAAATACTGTAAAGTAGATCACCACACAGTTTTAGGAGAGCAGATCATACTTTTTTTTTGGTTTGAAGAAAATAATTGAAACAGACAAACAACCTTTATACTGTATTTAAGGTTAATGTAGGCCTTTTCCAGGCCAAAAGCAACATTATCTGTTATCCAATGATCTGTAGTGATCTTCTGTTTACATCTACCTGCCCATAAGAGAGTCATTAACTGTTTAATATGACTGGTGGATCATTTCTCTGATCCACATAAGTGCCCTGCATCGGTTACAGTCACATGTGGCTTTATTTGTGCTGATGTTTTTTTCATTTTGGGCTCTTATTAGACAAGCTGGTTATAAAGAGCTTTTGGAAAATATTGCATTTTTGTTATCTCCCTCACTCAAGAAGACCTAGCATTCTAACAGTGTTTCAATCTCGTTTTATTTTACATTGTGTTTGTTGGGTGTGTGATTGTATTGTGTAATTTGATAAAATGCACAACTCTTTAGAAAATGTTTTATTGAAGCTTAACAGCCTTAACAGCCAGATCAAATATGCAAATAAATATATCTCAACTTGCTCAGGTTTCTCTTGGGGACCCAGTTAATTGCAGCAACGTCTAAAGCCTTTAGAGGGAGCCATTCATACTGTTGCAGTAATGAGACCAAATGAGGACACTAATCACTGGGACAAAGATTAAGGCTTAACAGATAGCACCCAAGAACATTTTGTATTAAACTCAATTCTTACTATAGCAATTGTGAGTATTATAAAATGTACAATACTATTCTGTCCCATAAGCTTTAGTTTTAACATTGAATATAGTATATCACTTCAACATTTTGTGTGTTTAACATTTAATTTCACAGTTTTTAACTGCGCTTTACTATACTGGGGTTTGTTTATTCTGAACGGCTATACCATAACATTGATGATCAATGCAGCTTTACATTAACATTTTGAATGCTATTAAACTTGTATTTTGAAATGTCTATAGGCATTTTAGCTTTATTATATTACACATTTGAAAAAACACATGGATATGTCCCATGGCTCCTTGAAATGATTTGATGATGCAGAGAAAGAAAAGTTTGAGAGTAAACTGCTGTTGGAGTGTTTAGAAGGAATGTCATCTGCATTCCCCAGCGCATGCAGGAGAGATGGCCTGCAGGAGAATGTGCTTAATGGACACTCTACAAAGCCACTTAAATCTCACCAAAAAAACATATTAACTGGGTTAAATGATAAAGGAAAGATACATTTAAATCCGGCATATTTTCCAAAAATGTCAGATTTGGAGACTCAGACACAGTAATAGTAAGTATCAATAGTAAGTTTAAAAAACGTAGACACTGACTCAAAGTGTATGTATTTTGTCTTTCAGTGTGCTCTCTAACATTTTTAAACAAAACCTATGCCAATGCAACTAGGGATATATTTCAAAGGACTAAGTGATTTTCCAAAAACATTGGACATGTAGAATTTGATTGCCGTTTTGACTACTTCTTGGGAATGAATCTAATTGTAGTCAACGTGATGGAAATGTAATCCTTTCCACAGGTTGATGCAGCTGCTGGTCTGCTTGCAATATATGTTATGATGTGTGATAATATGATATTAAGAGTCCCAGCTGCACCTGTCCCAGCTGCTGTGCAAAGTGTTCTCATGTGCAACTGATATTGATTTAAACTAATGGTATTATAATTATATTAATAACATTTTGATGTATTTGTCTTTTTTAATTGACCTTGTGTTAAGACCATGAGAACTGATGTGCTCTCATCTGTGTTCAAATCTCTAACATTTATACTTATGTTAGGGTATAAATTATCTTACCATTAGAGACTTCATTATGGAGCTTTGCTGTTTTCATATTAGCAAACACACCGTTAACTCTGAAGGCATTGACTATTTCTATTCCTATCATCCCTTTTTAAATAGTTTGTTTTTGTTGTACATACTTCTTCCTGTTTATCATCACCCTGCATTGCATTAACAACCTCATTCCAGGAAGCATACACCACTTAAAGCTAATCCAGAGTAGAAAAGAACAGAAATGTCCAAACAAAGTTGTAAAATTGTCTTTAGTCTTACCTCACACATAATTAAAAACAATTCTAAAGAAATGTCATCTGATATTGTTCAAGTACAGGTGTTTTAAAACATCAGAGAGAGGTAATTGAACGTCATTGTTGGGGGATGACTGCCAGTATGGCTTCCCTGTGTTACAAACAGTTAAAATATTCAACATTTTAATGTGTTCAATATTTGTTTTCTTTGTCTCTTGTAAATATCTTACATAACTATGTTGCAAATTGCAATACAGTAGGCCTATAGCAACTTTAGGTAAAGTCACTTAAATGTAATTTGCGCATAAATGTGGCTTGTTCCCCAGGGCAACAGTGGCTGAGACTCATGGGTATCGTAGTTTTTATAATAAAACCGGGAGAATTAGTTTCCATTCAACTTTTGTTGAGTGAACGTGTAAACTGCCAGACGCTATAATGTTGCTACCAAAATCACCACCATGTGCTACTTCCTTTCGATACAGTACATTAGTTGTGGAATTACTGAGCCCTAGGTAAACGGGATGTCTTGCCTACCCAAGCTACAGGTTCAAAATATCCTCTGCAGTTAACGTCCTCAGACGGGCTTTTTTGTTATCTTTCGACCTGATTAAGAGTAGGCTACTGACCCGTCCCGTTGAGCCAATCCATCAATCAGCGGTAATGTTATTCATTTCGGACTGCGTCTGTCACAGTGAAGTAAGTCAGTGGCTGAACTCATTACTCTTTTAACTACACGCTTTCTGAGCTCCAGGCTATGAGTGCTGATGTGGCGTCTGGTTTTAGTGGTGGTCTGCAAGTCTAGGGATGACTTATCCTCCGTGGCGACCTGAGTCTCTGTAATGGAGAATCCCATTCTCCAGCGAAGCAACACCAAACTTGTGAGTAGTTGCTGTTTTCGGGGTGTTTCAGTAACTTGGCAGTTTTTAAGATGTATCATTTGGTGTCTCTAATAGGTTTCCGGGTATCACAAATAGTTTACAAAAGTGGAGCAAATAGTTACGGGTAGACGTAAACATAATGGCTTGTCAACATAGTGTTTGGAAAGAGGTGTGGACATGAATTAATATCTTTCTAATCCGTCTATTTCTCTTTAAACTCCCTCCTAGTCAGCTCATGAATATTCTGTGTTTCTGCAGAGTACTCACCCCTCTCCACTCACTTTACCCACTCCTCCGCATGTAGTCTATGTGCCATCCTTAATAAGTCTACTTTGGTAGTTGTTGTTATTAGTCCAGTCCTACAAAAACATTTTATACTATGACCCTGATAGCAAAGAAAATATAGTAGACATTTGTATACAGTCTTGATTGTACATTAGATCACAATTGCAGTATTTATTTAGGATTAGAGTTGGAGTTTGGAGTTTTGGTGTTTAATTCGTCATTACAAGCTTTCACCCTAATGTTATATGGTTTTGCCAACATTGTAAAGGCACGACTATTAAAATGTCTGCAATCGAAAGCATATTAAACATTTCCAAACTTTGAATTCATAGCTTACTGTTGTGTAGGGGCTTTTGTGGAAATCTTCTCCAACTATGTCTCCCTTGAACGGCTTTTCTGAGCACTGAGGAATATTGTCACATCACTGGATTTAGTTCAAGTGTGGTTGATTAGTGTAATCTGATTTGTCAATCCCGCTTTATTGTATGAACTACTTTGCACATTTCCTCTCATTGTATTCCAGGGAGCTCTAACAAAAGAGTTGGGTTTCAACATTCCTTACATTAAAATTAGGGGAGGCCAAGGATAAACATCCACAAAACATTTCAGTAGGTATGGTTACTTCATTGCTGGATTTTTGTAAAAGTATGGAAATCATGAATACAACGAGCAAAGGAACATTAGGAATTCAGAAACAGGCAATTTTAAGATTATTTCTGTTCAGATGGCATGCTATGTTGTAGAAAGGCAGCTGGGACAAATCTGATATTTTCTTTTAGGTTTCAAAAAGTACTTGCTTCATCAATAGTAATCAAGATCTCAGTGCAAAAATAAATTGAAACTTCTAGCATTTGACTGCTCTTGTACCAACTGATATCAGCTGTTTTTAGTGTGTCTTTTTACCACTGTGACAAGTATAAATAACTTATTGAAAGTAAAGCATATAAGGATATAGCTGTGTTGATTTGTTGAGCCATTTTCTTGACAGTTGACACTTGTGCCAAAGTCATTGTGCACTAAACATCATGTCTTGACATGACACATTCTCAAAACTGTGATTATGAAATAGCTAAAGGGTTGTTGCATTAATATGATGTCCACAATAGTTGGCAATACTTAAAAGACGTAGTTACATTTGAAATGACTTCACTGTCAGAGAGAAACTGTGGTAACACGGCTCACCCATCATCAGATAAGGACATTTCCACTCCCATATAGTCACACTAGAGGAATGTCTGAAAAATATGTGTAACCATGACTGTATTTTACAATTGCACTTGTTCCGGAATTTCATAGAATTGCAAGACAAATGGGGACAAAGCGTAAACACAGTTACTGTTGCGTAATCATATTAATGTCTGCAGATAATGCTTACTTTTGCTTTTTTGTGACCACTGACTTTGTATAGTAAACGAATGGCCAAAGAAAATTGTCATTTCAAATTCTTTTGCTCACTTATACTGCACTTTGTCAAACTGTGTGTGTAATAGCATGCTACTTTAGCACAGTCCTTTATTCTGATTTAATAAGAGTTAGCCACTTTAGTGTAAGCCTTATCCTGATAATGACTTACTACGCCTCTTTGGAGCATGGCTCATATGATTGGCTTGACCGTCCTTGATCAAAGCTCTCTAATCTCCAGCATGGAGATGCTCGAAGGTGGAGGATTTCAGACCAGAGTATTTGCCCTTTCATTACCACAGAAATACATCTTCAGAATGGCTGTAGCAATGTTTACCAACGAAGTTTGTTTTATATAATGTTTTTTATCTAGATTGATGATAAATTATTCAGAAATCAGTGGAGTGTGCTCCCTGATTATATTCATGCCATGCACTTTATTGAGTCGAGCAGGGGCAGAATTAAGATGAGGTAATTGTACATTGAAGAGTAAAGTGTGTTTGCATTATTTATAAGCATATCTTTCCGACTTGTAAAATAGGATAATCTACATAATCAGTTTTCCTGCTGCTTTCTCTAGACAACCTGCCCAATTGGTGCTAACATAAATCCTGCTGGATAGTGTTACTACTGTTAAAAAGTCAAAGTGAAATAGCACAAATACTATGTGCTAATCGAGAAAGTTGTACGATCTAGTCCTATGTGAAAACAAACAGTTATTACATTGTCACTTTCTCATATGAAACAAAAGATGATTTACGATGTCATGGCTTTCAGCTGGCAAGTGAAGCCGAGGTGTCGGTTCATACAAACAGAGAGGGTGTGATTGCTTGTGCACTTAAAAAGGTGACAGCATTGATAAATGTACTGTATCTGATGATGTGCTGTGTGTGCATGTGTGTGTGTCCTCAGGGTGACTTCACCTGGAACAGGGTGTCAGGGTGTAGTGTTGGCCTGAAGCCAGTCCCTCTGCAAAGCCTCTCAGAGTTGGAGAGGGTTCGCCTAAAGGACGTGGCGTTCAGGCGACTGCTTCGGGATCGCGACCTTGGCTGCCACATCACTATCCCTAAATGTAATCAAACATACACACACACTTAAGCATTCTCGTAATCACCGTACTGCTGTTCTATCAGCAGTGTGTTACTGCTTACTTTTCGAACAATATGGCATTGTTAAAGGCAAGACATGTTTCAAAAATATGTTGTACACCTGTGTTAGGGTTTAACATTCAAACACCATGTTTTTGTCTGGACAATTATTTAGCAGTCAGTTTGCATTCAGCTCTTTTGTGCTGAGTAATCATCTGGTTTACTTTATTTACCTGTGAAACCTCTCCCTCTCTTCAGATGGCCACAAGCACAAGAGGTCACTAAGGCTGAAGTTGGATGCACTATCTAAGGAAAAGAGCAGAGACAAAGGTAATGTGGGATGGACTGAGCAAACTCCTTAATGTAGGGAGAGTTGTAGTGCTCTCCTTTGCAAAGTATCTTTAGATGAGTTTCGAACAAACTCAGTTGTATTTTTTTTTTAGACTTTCCAAACCAGCACAGATAAACAATTCTTTTTTTTAGCTCCGTGTGAGAGCCAGTGAGTCCTTTCAGTTTATTCTCCTCTAGTTTCTAATCTAGTCAGCCTCTGACACTTGAAAGACACTCTTTGATCCGATTGGCTGAAGCTGTAAGGACCCGCTGAAGCAGACATGTTCAGCTGTTTATACCCGTGAAGCACTGACTGATTAGAATCTACAGTACGGTAGAAAAAAGTCTCAGAGGGAACTGTGATCTTCCACCACCGCACTGCCTCGCCCGCTGCAACAATCTGGCAGCAAACTGATGTTCTGTGTCAGCCAGGCAGTCCAGGGAAATAACAAAAACAATCTTAAGTGGTGGCTCATTCATTACAGCCCATCCTCCAGCAGGGCCAGCCCCCTCTTTCCTCTTCTCCCCTTTTGTTTACAAAGGCCCTTCAGAAAGTATGTACTCTCTCACTCTGAATATTGACTGTGTGTTCAGTACAGAATACTGCAGGCATTTCAGTTGTCCTATTGGTTTTAAACAACATTTAGCAAAGATCAATGTTGAATATAAAGAATACGCGAACACGAGGTGCTTAGTACAGAAAGTATAAGCTTCAAGGTTTAACATAGTATTGTCCCTGACCCTGACACAGCATGATTTAATTCAACACCCCCCAGTTGACTTGGAGCTAACAAGACAAACTTTAAAGTCTAACTGTCTTACCCTTCCCCCTCACACAGAGAATTCGCCCCAGGCGTTGGGCATACCGTTGTCTCAGGTCATATCCAACGACCGATCACACAAGCGACGGCACGATGCCCCGCGGGAGGAGCACAGTGACCCTTCTGAATTGATGCTATCTTTCCTCCACCTTAACTCCAGCCTAAAAAGGGGAAACAGGGATATCTCCAGCAGCAATTCGTCCCTCAGCTCTACTTCTGAGACCCCTATTGAATCACCTCTGCTCAGCACGCCAGACGCAGCCCCCCGGACACGCAGGAGGGTAGGTCGATAAACCCAACACGCTTCAGGAAGTCTGTCTGATTACACTTGCACAGTTCTCTGGGAATATGTGACCTTTTTGGATATTCACTCAATGGTTATCTTTTGACTGACAATTTATCATAACTGTCACTGTATGATAGTTTCCCATCTGCTTGACAGGGCGGAGTATCTGTGGATTGCATCACTGATCTAGATGATAACCAGTCTCGGCTCTTGGAGGCCCTTCAGCTCTCTCTGCCAGCGGAGCAAGGCGGCAACAGTAAAAAGCACCACGACAAGAAGCTCAGCCTCAACCCTATCTACAGACAGGTGCCCAGGGTGGTGGATCTCTGCTGCCAGCATCTGGAGAAATACGGTACACATTTTCAAGTTGAAAAGACAAATTCTTTAAAGAATGATGCAAATAGTGTGTCATATACAGTATGCTTTTGAAATGTCACGCTGTCCCTGTTGAAACTTATGAGTCAGTAACTCATGTGTTCATTACTTTGTGAATCATAGCATTTGAATGCAGAATATTAACCACATAATTGGCAGTGTAAAAGCATCCTTCTCTTTTCTTACAGGCCTACAGACGGTGGGAATTTTCCGCGTCGGGAGTTCAAAGAAGAGAGTACGACAGGTACAATGTCAGCTGGTTAGCTTCAGCACATCTGCACTTAAATACATTGATCTGACTATGAGCTAAATTCTTTGTTGTAATAATTGTCACGATATTTAATGCAGCTTCGCAAGGAGTTTGACCAGGGTTGGGAGGTACGGTTGGACGAGGAGCACAGTGTCCATGTTGTAGCTGCGTTGCTGAAAGAGTTCCTCAGAGACATGCCTGACCCACTGCTAACACGGGAACTTTACACAGCATTCATCAACACAATGTGTAAGTAGCACATATGCTCAAGCAAAAAATAACAACTAGTCACCATACTTGGTTAGAATGGTTGGTCAAATATTATTTAAAAAATTGACTATTCATGACAATGATGTGGCCTTTTTTTTCTACTGCAGTGCTGGATTGTTCAGACCAAGAGAGTGCCATCCAGCTGCTGATTTTTCTGCTGCCTCCCTGTAACAGCGACACGCTGCAGCGCCTCCTCTGCTTGTTGTCTACTGTGGCTGCACATGCTGAACACCGCCGTGAGAATGACGGACAGGAGGTAAAGAAACTGTTCACGCCCTAGTTTAAGGCAGCATGAAAACAAGTGCACACACCAGATTATTTCGGGCCTAACAAGATGAGATTTGCATGCAGGCAAGTGAGAACAAGACAAGGTGTCGATATGTTGCCATTGTATTGAGATGAACATCTTGGAGCAGCTCTACTGGCAGTATTTCACATATGTTAACTGTTTTTATTTCACACCAGCATGTAAAAAAAACTCTTATGAGAAAATGAGCAGCTATCACTGAAAACATAAATAAACGGTTTACAAGTTTAATGTTATTGTGATGAATCCCAGCAGCCATCTGAAGGCAGTAAGGCAGATGCTTGTTACACCTGCAGCCTCTAATTTGAATCAAGCGATGTGCCAAAGTGCAGCGCATTATGCATGATGATCCATTGTGGGTATCAGGATTAAATGATGTACAACCAACATTAACCACGCTTCGCTAACACAGTGTTTCTACATACATCATACTGTTCACTCGTAATTTATTCCCCCGGTTTATGATTTGCAAACAACAACAAGTGTAAGGAAAGCATAACATATTGGGAAACAGTTATTTCAGCATAAATATTTACAACTACAGAACAGAACAGTATTTTTTCCTACTCGATGCAGACATTCTGGACCTTTTCTTTCTTGTAATGATCATCTTTCCATATTATTCTTGCTTTTCTAATGGTCACAATGGAGATTAATTGTTTCCCAGGGATATACAGCAGCTTGTTCTTGGCCTCGGTCCTAGAGCATCCATACTGTAACAGTGAAGCAGAGGTCTGCTGGTTTATTTGAACAAAAGAAGGCCAGCCTTATTGATGGTGGCAGGGCTGTGTTCGGGGCACATTCCCAACATGTGCAGGGTGCCAAGGAGAGTTTGCCTATTTACAAAAAAGACTCTTAAAATGCCATAATTACTCGTGCGAGAGTTTTCATTACTGTGCTTGATCCACATGGGTCGATTAAAAGAACATTTAAGGTAATTAAGCACCATTTATTACTTTTATATTAATACTTAGAGTTTAGAAAACATGTATTGAAACTGCAGGGGTCAAATATAGTTAAATGCAGATAATACCTCTGTTGGGACTTTGTTTACTAACAAATCTGCTGTAAAAGACTTCAATTGATATGGTATAATTAACATACTTAAATTATACCATGTGGCAAAGGCACTGGAATTCTTCCATTATTGTGGCTGTAGTCGTGTCATCCACTAAATGAAAACATAAAGTCATAATGTCCCAACAAATAAAATCTGTCCTTTCTTTAGATCACTGGAAACAAGATGACATCACTCAATTTAGCAACCATCTTCGGACCCAATCTCCTCCACAAGCAAAAAAACTCAGACAAAGAGTTTGCTGTCCAGAGTTTTGCCCGCGCAGAAGAGAGCACATCCATCATCGGTGTGGTCCAAAAGATGATCAATACATATGAGACACTGTTTATGGTAAGTTATCCTTACTTTCATTTCAATTGTTGAATACAGAACAGGGCTTAATCACACCATAATCTTAGGTCTCCTCGTAGGGGTGATTGTTAGGTTTAATAGAGTGTACTAACATAATGAAATGTAAACATTAACTCTATAGGTTGTGAAGGACCTATTAAACCAAGCGGTGTCACAGCAATACAGAATATAATGCAATTAGTTGTTCTCCCTTGAGCTGTGTGAAATGTAAGATCAATGAATACTATTTTGTGTTCATGTCAAAAAAAAGGAAAGCCTCACTGTCACTTCAGCCTCTGTTTTGTTTGAAGAGGGGCAAGATCTTCCTCTGCATAATGTTTTCGACTTTTTATGCAGATGCATGAATTCAAGTAAAATGATCTGTTAAGGAAGCCAGGGGGCAAAACAAAGCTCATCCGACATTAGCTCTGTGTCATTAGTTCTGCTTTTTCTAAACTGCTGTTAATTACGTGTAGCCTATTGCACCATGGAAAGTATGCAAATATAGGCATCATAACATTGTTGGTGTAATGCTGTTATTTGTTCAGTGTATACAGCGCCTCTGGAGAAGTTTAAACTACGTCGTTGTTGGATTTACTTGAAGTGTGAATAATTATTAAGGCACAGTGGAATTAATGTATAATAGAAGGCACTTTGTTGCTGAATCTCTTTGTGTGGAGCTTCAGTGTAACTGGGTTTTAATTCTCCCAGGTTCCTGCTGACCTGCAGAACGAGGTGCTGATAAGTGTGCAAGAAACGGATCCTGATGTAGTGGATTACTTACTGCGGAGGAAGGCCTCTCAGTACTCGTGAGTTTCCACCTAATTGTGTGTGTGCCGTCCAAATGATTAAAATGAGTATGCTCCCTTTAGTTGCATGCATTGTACTTATACCCTTCATTTTGTTCTTTGTTTCAGCGAGCCAGGTCTTCTTAGAGAGTCTTTCTCTCTGACTGACAGGTGCTTATCCATTGACTCCATCAAAGCGTCGAGTGGAGAGGTGTCTCCCTATGACAACAACTCCCCTGTCCTGTCAGACCGACTGCTGTGTAAATACCCAGAAGGCAGCAGTCCACCCACAGAGAGGATCCCCAGACTCTCTGGGCAGTGCAAACGCTTCAGCTGTTCTAAAGAGGGATCCGGCACCACTTCTCCTACGCTTTCTACTGATAAAGGTGACTACTTCAGTATTATCAAAAGGAATACTTTTGACATATTTTGCTGAGATTGAGATTCATGTCAAGAACCATATCCATCTCAATAATAAATAAATAATGGTTTTAAAGATAACAATACTTTTTAAAAGTTCAATACCTCTTGTGTGTGGAATGATGTAAGACCTTTTATGAAGCCTTCTGAAACATTTAGTTCCCATAATGCTTTTACCTTGCCTTTGTGAGAGATAGATGAGATATGTAGTTGATGAATGCTTCTAATAATATGTTATCTACTTCCTTTTATAAATTGTACCTTATCTTTTATTAAGGTGGCAATATTCTTAAATTGCACTTTTACTGGAGTAGTAGATAATCATTTATATTTGTAATATGGTGAGGAAAAACCTTAGTATCATGTTTAGGCTATTTCAAACAGATAATCAGACCTGGTTACATTGTCTAGGGAAGGGGAACAGAAGCTTGTCTTTAAAAATGGAGTATCATTTATTATTTATTTTTGTTCTATTTAAACAAAAGTAAATAATCCTCTTGACACTTTTGTCCCTGTTAGAGGCCTCATCTGATAATTTCTGGGACACCTGGCATGAACTGTTCAGCAAGAAGTTTACTGGCCATCAAACCACTGGTAATGAAGTCCTGCTTACATGCTGCAGATGGTCTTCAGATATGTAATGAATGCTGGATGTTAATGAAGGCTTTCTCACAGGCTCCCTCGGAGACGCTTCGGATAGCGAGTCGTATGGATCTTCAGAGGGGCTGAGCAGTCACCAAGGTAACAACAAGCTGCCTGTCAGACCAGCACAAACCTCATTGGGCGTGCTGGAAATCAGGCCACACCTCCCGGTGACTCGCAGCAGCAGCAGCGGTCCTCATGACCAGAGAGGACACAGACAACCTCAATCACCATTACATCAGGGACTGAGCAGCCAATCAGGAGCCCTCAGCTCAGACAACTTAGCAGAAAGGACAGGACGCCCTGCATGTTCATTTTTAAAGGTCAGGACGGATGGTTTGTCTCCGCCTCACTACTCTGGAAAGCTGAGGGAGACGCATATTTCTTACTCCACACCCTCCCTCTTCACATATAAGCCTGACCCCCAGACCCCTCTGCTGCAGAGCCCTGCCCCCCAGACTGTAGACACTGCAGCTGCCTCTGGGCCTGGACTAGAAAATGGCCCTGGCACACCAAACTGGCAGACGGAGAGGTGGCATATATGGCATATTCTGTCAAAAGAAAATGAAGATGCACTGCCTGAAACCTTGGTGTAACGCCCCCCTTGACTATGTTGAATTATAGTGAATAACACTTGACATTAAAGGGGTCATTCTCCTGTCGCTGAAAGACTACTCTCTGCCTGTATAAGCAGTATTAGGTATTATGTTTTTGATCACAAATACAGTGATGGAATTTTACACCAAACACTCTCTTAGATGTGATGTCTTTCTGCAGGAGTGTTTAGCTGTATACATATTCATTTTAATGTGTATTTATGATATAAATGGTCCTTTCTGTACATATATTTGTTTGCAGTTTATGTGCTGTAGTCATTAACACAGATAATTTGCAACATAACCATCAAAAGCTTTTATTTAGACTTGAATGTCATCATTAGACTTGAATTATATTGTTGCTAAGGTCATGAATGTTTTTAAAGTGGAATGTAAAAATGGAGATGTTGTTATAATGCTTTACATTTGTAGTACTTTGATATGTACTGAAGCCACTGCTTGAACAGTTTTGTTACAGGCTCCAAATATAATCTACTGACATGTTGAAATGCTGCAGGCTGCGTCCATATTACCTCCTATGTATGTATGTATCTAATCTCACCCTCTGTATACATATTTATCCTTGCACCTTTAGGGGGGCCATTGTGTAAATAACAGTACATAGATTTAATTCTAAAGGATTAGTTTGTGCCATTACTTATAACTTTAGCCAATTTTATGCATGTTGTTGTCTATTGTTTGGATTTGTATTAATACTCTATTTTTAAAATGGCCACAGTTTACACAGGAAGATAATTGCAAGCAAAGTGGAAAATGAATGTAAAACTCAACAGGGTTCATGATGGGCTCTTATTAGGGGCCATGCTTTCTGGTGCTATGTAAGAATATAATTTGTTCCTTTCCCCTTCAAATTCATTTAGGAATTAGCATGAAGTTAAAATTAAATGGCAACCAAATGATGTCTAAACTCCAATTTAATTATCTCTAAACTCCAGAAACCTTAACAGGCCACAGGGGGGCAGTAGAAGACCAGGAGATGGCTTTCTGTTTCCTTCATTACACATTGAACCATTATTAGTTTAGTAAGACACCTTTACAGACCATTATAGGGATGGTGGAGATGTATTGCCACCATTGAAGGGAACATATTATTTTAACAACAGTATTTTGTCTTTTGGTGAATAACTGATCTTAGCTGAGAAGAAAACAGTAACATTTACAACTAAATACACTTTAAAGTACTTACATTGCTATAAGTAACCACAATAAGTGTACAATTATGTTGGAAACCGCCACCCTGGTCTTGTAAAGAATCCAGATAGTATTTAAAGTTGAACCATCCTTTAGTTGCCTTAAAGTAATGGAAATGAGGTTACTGAAGTTATGTAATTTAATAGATTGCCTTGTGCATTTGTGATACTGTTATGTTTGGACAATAAACATCATCGCACTGATAATAAACTCTTCCCTTCTTAAGTGAAGCCTGGGGGTTTCCTCAACACTAAGATGTGGTTAAACTTTCTCTGCCATATCTGTCTCTGCAGCTGTGATCCAAGCTGCATTTGGCCTCCACACAATCCCATTCAGACCAAAGAAACAGAACAGGATGTCTGGATGTGTTTTACACAGCATTGTCTACACTTCTTGCATCTGCACCGCAAATGTCTTAACCATCAGGCCAAGCATTAGAGGGAAAAGAAAACCGCCCGGAGATGCTTTTGTTTAAATGTATTTGTGACTGTCCTCCCCAAAGCTAACAATCAAGATGAAGTCTTTAATTTCACATCTTATCTTTGCAGCACTGATGGATGTAAGTTGATCCTTTGGCAGAGAGCTGCAGCTGTTTCCCGGCAGGGGGTCCTTCCTGTCTGAGTCTGCTCACTGGCATCAGGAGCAGCTGCAGGGAGGACGGAGGAAGGTCACAACCAAAATGAGGCTGAAGGTCCAGAAACAAGAGAGCCCTGCCCATGGTGATCAAGGTCGGCTGATACACACAGCTCTACAAAGGAAAAATAGAGCTCAGTGGGGCTCATTAACCCTCATCACTCCAGCATATCTATGATACAAGGACAGAAAAATCGCTTCAAGAAATAACCATCACATTAAAACATTATAAGTTATATAATTAATATATCAAAAATAGCTTTATTATTTTAGGTGGGCTATAGTTCATTTGCATATTGTGTAGAGAGAGCAAACAGGGAAATTATCTGCTGCATCTTTTCTGTGTCCTCCTAAATGATTTGCACAACCTCTGATAGTGTGTGATACTGTATATGTAATTAGGACCCATGGCATCATTAACTTGATCAATATTTTCTTATATTAAAAACTGCACCGGTGAATTAGGTGCTTTTGACTGGGGTCCCCAAGCAGCCCAATTCTTTGGCATACTTTTCTGGGAATTAAAAAAAACACCAAGTACAGAAAACAAAAACAGGGATATAAAGTAATCAGAAATGGATTGAGTGCCAAATTAATGAAAACATGTAATAATAGAGAGGAGCTTGTGTACAATATGTACAGTTGTATTCAGGGTGTTCTGGCACAAAACAGTGTCAACTGAAAGAAAATCCTATAAAGCCAGTTATTTTAGATCTCAAATACGTATGTGCTGCTCTATACTGACTGTTTTCAATAGCTTGCCTATCGTGTACCTTTGAATCAAATACAATTATTGCTATCAATTACCGTTGCATAAGAGTTATGTCTGTGTGCTGTATTTACTATTTTCTGCCGATTTTTTAATTTCTGAGTCCACCACTGTACCTGGAAAGGCAATTCCAAAGCCTATAATGAGGAACAGCACAAGACAATTATATGTCAATAATTGGTGAACACAATGCGAACATCACTATAATGGAAAAATATGCAATACAATAGACAGCAGACCGTTCATGAATGCAAGAGTGACACACAACCCAAATGTCAATAACCGTGGCTTATAGGCGTCATGGTCATCATGAAGAATAAGAAATGTTCACGGTTAAAGGATTAGCAGTGATTGCATTAAGACTCTCCGCTTAGTCCAAACACTTCATAAACACAATGCGAACTTTTAGATGCCAAGCGTTGCACTGATAAGACAAGTTTAAGCAAGTTTGTGCAATTTTTGACTGGATTTGGATTCTGAGCAACACTTCACTCTCTTTTTTAAATGGGGTGTTTGAAGAGGTTCTTTTTTAGTTTTGGATTTGTTCATTTAAATGTAATTCCAATCTTTCCCAATTTCTTTTTAATTATGTATTCATCTGTTTAGGCCTGTGTACTGAGAAATGTTTGCTTCTCTTGCTCTCTTGTTTTCCATCTCACTGAAGCAACCCAAGAGCTGTCTATAATATGCAGCAACATCTCATTTTATTCACCCCATCTGCTCTGCCTCATGCTCCAACTGGGATGCATTTGATAAATGTTTCCTATTTTGAAACAAAGCTCTCATTGTACCTAAAAAAAGGCTACAAGACATGTTGGAGTTTGTTCAAATGATCAGTATCATCATGGACATAAGCTATAAATCACAGTATGGTTGAGCTGTCTGTATCACCAGCTTTTAGAGAGCATGTGTTTTCCCCTTCTCTCTTTGAGTCCACATGATACATTACAGTAACTCAGTTGGGGTGGAGGCTGTGTATCTGGGGGGGACAGGGGATCAAGTTGGATCAACTTCAATATGTCAGTGTTTTGGCAGGCAGGGCAGTGAATAATACACTGTTCAAATTTTGTTGGCCGAAAAGCCACCAAAAGGCAGTTTTCTGCAGGATTCAAACTTTTGCAACAAACTGAGAATGATGTGTCTGAAACCACTCCCATGCAACATCAGGAATTACAGGATCCAGATGTTTTCTTCCAACTCTGGTTGTTAGCCAGCTTGTTTTATGGGGCGGATATGAACACATACCGATTCTATCTGGTAATAGTATTTGTGTTGTTTTTGTCACCTGGCAAACATTTTGAGATATCGGTGAAATATGTGTGAGAAAATGTGAGGGCTAATAATGCAAATATAAATTCCTGTGCAACTCTCTGTTGTGTTAATATCTTTAAGAAAATATGCAAAAATAAACACCTGAACTTGCATAATATAAGCTAACATTGAGAGAAAATATTCAAGTTGTTCAGTTCTTTGAGAGAAACTCAGCAGGCTGCTTTTGTTCAAATTCCATGTAATTCCCCTATGTATGCTGATAGCAATAGAAGCTGCAGCTTAGACACTGTAGAAGACACCTACAGTATAGCATTAAATCAAGCTTCAAACATGTAATCATGTTTTCTGTGCTTCAAAGAAATTGCCAGTAGTTAATAATTAAGTAGAGGCTCGACCTAGGTAATTATCAAAGAGTGACTTCAAAAATGAAACACTTCTAAGCCTTAAAATGCAAACACGTAAATACTTTGGCAATATGGTTGTGTTCCCGTGAGAGAAGAAAAGCTTTAATCAGTACCTGTACCATTTCACACTGTTGTCCCGAGCAGCAGTTCTCTTTGAACCTTTTCCCCACTGTATCCCCAGTTTCCTGCGGGCAGCGTTTTCCTTCTAGCTATCTCGGTGTTGCCTTTATTCCCTTTGGGTTTATATTCAGATATGCTTTCAGAAACAGGCTGATTCCCATAACGTGCTTTCTCTTTTTTCTCCTACTGTAGTTTTGTTGTCCTACCCCACTGTCCACACAACAAACACAAATGCTGCTGAAATCCTTTAATTGAAGCCATCCTTTTCTTTAGAAGTTCATTGAAAGGTTATAGGAGCACATGATTTAAAGGCTGTCTTTCCTTTATCAAGTATGAGCTGTTATTGAGTGGCTGTTAAAGAAGACTGACTTTTCAGTGTTACGGAGAGTTCAAGTATGAAGGCAACTTGTTAATATCGCTCTATTCACAGAGAAGGTCAAACCTGAGAGCAGAATGGTGAATAATATGAGTGCACACAGCTTTGAGGGATTAACACAAGAATCAGAAAGTGTTTTGGTTTATTGATTTCATCATTATTTGAAATTGAAAGGATTTCTGGCACAAAAAAGCATGAAATTAGTTGTAACATAATTGACTATGGTCTTCTGGATCTTTTTGAAGCTTTGTTTTTGTCTCAGTTTGTTCCCAGAAGGCCACACTGCTGACAGTATTCAGTCTCTGTAGCCGCAGCGGCACATTCGTTGTGATCTTGAAAACAAATGATAAGAAAATGTTCCATTATTTCATCAATCTCAGAGCGACAACCTCAATTCTATATACCGTCATGTGGAAACCTTGTCTGGAGGAGCCCTTAATCATTTCCTCCTAAACTTTTCAGTCATCTGACTAATGATCAGACGTCTGCTTAGGTTGATGTTTGGAGTAAGCTTTGCTGGAAATGTGCTGATGTCATCAAACTCCATATGAATCACACTGCAAAGGTGTAATCATCCAACCATAACAGGTGTGTAAAAAGTCCCTCTAACCCCCCCACTTGTTTTTCCTTCGCGGTAGGCAGAGCCAGGCAGGCATATTGAAAGCTGTTGCAAAGTCCAACAACACAACAGGCAGACTGCCTTTCGATGCTATTTTCCCTAGAATAATTTAATCTGTATGAAAGTTCAAGATATAATTCAAACTCCTCCTTAATTAGTTCAATGAAACAATGGGAGAAAGAGGGAACATTGGAGGTTTGTGTTATATACACAAGGCAAGTTTATTTATATAGCACCTTTCAACACAAGGCATTTCAAAGTGCTTTACAAAAAAAAAAGACATTAAGAAACACATTATAAAATGACATTTAAAAACACTCATTTAAAAGCAAAGCATGAATAACAAAAGGTACATGAATTAAAGTTACAGTGCAGTGTGCGATACACACATCTGAAATGTTTAGGTCTGCATTGCTAACTTTTTTGCAGATATAGTTTTCTATGACCTCGCTTTTTTTCTACTTTATTTTTTAACTTATCCTTTAGTTATTTCAAGTGTTTCATGCTAAAAGAACCCCCCTTTGGAAAATTATAATCTGACCCCATGGTACCTTTTAGTTTTTGCCGAAACTATTCCTCTTTTTTAACCATTCAGCTCACAGGATGCCCCCAACGCTGGGTTAATGTTGAACCAAACTGTTGCCCGATTCAGTGTTTTGGTTTGTCTTGGGGCAGGATTCAGCTGCCCAGTGTGGGGACATGGGCCATAATTGCTACCAGAATAGTTCACTCCACTTTCTGTCATCCGGTTGATGTTTCAAGCCTTCAGCCACAGCAGAAACACAACAAAACATCGGCCACATTAAGAAGGATTCCTGTTCTGCGA